TGCAACTCTGCATAAATTATATCAAAACAAAGACTGAAATTTCATAATTTGAACTCAAGGCTGGTCTTGAGATAGACAAGATTTAATCTATTGTCACCCTGTAAATAAAGACTAACCCTTTTTTATCTATTCTCTAGTCTTTCTCTAGTTAATTTGTAGCCATTTGTTAAACTAAATAAAATTTGATATTGTTTTCTTGAGCAGTTTGTGTTTTGTTTTCCTTAATGATTTTAATCTACTTTTTCACCCTCAATCTTACTGTCACATTTTTAATACAAACTTTCTGAAACACTGTAATTTGTTGAAAGTATCAATATATTAAAGTGTTATAGTGTGACATCAAAGTATTTTTTCCAGTAGGTAGAAACATTAGAACTTCTGTTACTTGTAATAGCTTGGGGTTTGTTGAAGTCCAGCTGAGGCTTCATTTGTCTTTGCTGACATTAATCTGATTTTGTAAGATATTTTTTTAGAATTTACATATTTATAGGATAATTGTCATTCTGAAGAGTGTTACTCTGTTGGAATATAACTGTTCTGTATATTCAAACAAAAAGCCTGTTTGATAAGTTTCTCATTCACTACAGGAAAAGTCAAAACACATCTCCATAATTTGATTTTGTGATGCAATTATTAATCAAATCATTTACTTTGGATAAAACCTGATAGAATATTAAAAAAAAATAACTCAATATCATTTATTTTTCTAGATAGGACTTCAGATAATCAATTTATTAAACATATCTTTTGATTAATCCTTTCACTGCCGAATATTCCTATGGAAAGTTGTCAACAGTGCAGGAATTTCTGGTGAAAATTGTCTATTTTGAAACGCGTTATTTTGAAATCCCTAAATCACTCTAAAATGCACATATATGCAAATGTTAGAAAAGAACATTAAAACAATAAACACAACATTTTAGATGAAAAATAATGTATTTTTACTACCTTTTTCTTCTAATGTCTGAAATGCTTGAGTGTGTGGTACTTCATGAAGCAGTTCGGAAGACACATGGGCAGGCATCGCCCCCTCCCACTCTTACAATTCATGAATCCATGTCTGATTTGCTTCCTCTTTGGATGTGAAGTGCTTTCACTGCACACTACACAGTTAGGCCTGTATTTAGGATATAGATAAGCCATTGGAAAGTGATGCCCTGTCAGTCTCTCCTCTCTATCCTCGGGTTATCTGTCGACCTTCTCCCATTCCTTCCAAATTTATTGAGAAGAATAGAAGCACAGAGTCTGGTTGCCATCTTTTCCCTGAATGAATGTAGCTCCATTTTTGAATTAGGGTTGGCAGTTGTGTACAATATGTAGGAGTTGACTAGTGCTGCCTCTCTGATGATGTGATAAATTGTGTAGTACCACTTTTTGCATTTGTGTCAATATGGGAAGCTGGTACATTTCTGGTCAGACAAGTCAACTCCTCCCATTGACGCATTGTAATT